AAAAAAAGGTTCAATCATTCATCATTCAGAAGTTATGACCAATTAAATGAGAAATGAGAAATTTTGTAAATCAGAGAACCATTGAGGATACTAATATACCAATTAAATAAAAGAATAAACCAAAAATTATAATTTCCATAATCACCTATATGATAGCAGTTTGAAGCCATAACATAAAGGCACAACTCTTCTCAATGGAATGTAAAAGAAGGGTTATTAACTACGAAAACTCGTCACTTTTAGCCTCATCGCGGAAAAGATCGACAATCGTTCCAAACTGCAAAAACCCCACTTGACATTTGTCTCCCCTTTAATTATGTTAAACATCAGTGTTGAATATTACAATCACACCTAAACTATTAAGAAAAACCAGCACTTACTATGATTGTCAAAGGTGAACCATACATGATGATGGAGAAGATAGTGGCTGCCACACCACAGAAAAGCTTCCTGTTATTGCCATGGAGTGCAAAGACCGAGACTAAAGCAATGGTTGCGAAAACAGCGAGTACAATAGATAGCAGCCCCAAGATTTTGCACTTCTCCCTTTTCGGTGCATATACCAGAAAGATCATCACGTAAACGATTTCAATGGCAGCCCCGGTTCCATTAATCGTCGAAACAAGCAGATTGTTAGGCGACACAAATGGCAAACCATACCTATTTAAAAGAAGAAACAGAATAAAATTTTAATCATAACACAAATGGCAAACCATAACAGTAAAGGCCAGCTTCATTGCTCTTAATCATTTCAAGAAAAGCTGAAAGAAAAAATTTACCAGGCCGAAAGCAAGCAGTTGAGCAGGGTCATGACATATGGGACTCCAGAGAATTGCTCGGTCGACCGCTTCTTCGTGATTCGTTTGAAGGTGATCCTGCACATCATCAAGTTAAAAAAAGACAAAGAATCGAGAAGAGCAAAAGATCACATAAGCATTGAACAATGAACATGGGGTAGGCCAAGAAATCTCATCTTGGTCACTTCACAGAAGCGATTATTAATCACATCTTTTTTCGAGAAATTCGGGAGCGAACAAGAACATGAAGACCCAAAACAACACACTACGAACAATAAACAATTTGACCACACAATTTTTGGATGACAAAAGATCAAGGAACAAAACCACGTAACAGCAGCTATGTGATGAAGAACAGAAAAGAACTCACAGTGGCGCCAAGAACAGAAACAGCGCAAAAGCATTTCCTGTGTGATGAAGAACAAGAAAAGGAAACAGAAATTACAACAACAGTATTAAAAAAAAAAACACAAGAACTCA